CCAGAGGGGAAAAGAGCCAGAATGATCTGGCAAACCACCCTTGGATCCTTATCTTTCTGAAAATTTGGTAAGAAAATAAATGTTTACTGTTTTAAATTGCCAAATTGGGGGGAATTTATTATTCAGGAATAGGGAATTAATATAGTAATGATCATCAGTCATAGTAAAATCTTAATCTTTCAAAGAAAAATAGAGTATGAAGAAAGCAATGTAGCAGCTATTTCTAATTTGCAATATTTAAATTCACTTTAATTATCAAACATAAGCCTCATAATAACTGTTAAGTTATAAAACATACATAGAAGGCATGTGAACTTTTAAAGTGGGATGATATAAAAAGAATACTATAAATCTGTAAACATATAACTTAAAAAAATAAGTTCAGTGGAAAAATGGTTAAGTTGATCAGATAATTTCATTATAGCACCATGAAAATAACTGACACCTTGTGATTAAATTTAAGAATGCCGTAATTCTCTCTAAAAGGAGAAAATAAGCAAATTTTCCTTTGAGCGCACTGATACCTATCAATCAATTAAGTGAGCAAGTTGTGCCTCTGCATACACAATTTAGTATGCATGCGTACAACATAAATATGTGCACAGACATGTCCATTTGTTAATTCCATGAGACACTGGCTCTGGCGATGCCAACACCTTGATTAAATTTGTCTGCACCAGTTAAACTGTTTTCTTCTCTTGCAACAGGACTTAAGTAGATGACTACAAGGTGTTAACAGGTATGCAGTGGATATGTGAATGGATAGGAATATTCAATGTGGACTATATTCATCGGGCATTCCTGGGACAGTTATTCCTTTGCCTGAGGCTTGGCTTCCATCAGATGTAATAATTCAGTTTCTGGGAAGACAGTGACAGATGTCAATCTCAGAGAAAAGATTCTATGTATACAGACCATCATCTTCGCCCATGTTCTGGAAGGCTGATTGCAATCACTGCTTTATTTTTTTAATTAAAGGTGAGAGTGGCAATAGTCAGAGTTCATGACTTATTTCTTGCCTCCAAAGTACCATTCACCTGGAAAATGAACTACTCCTACTTGAAAAAGCTATTTTTGAAAGAGTTCACTTTAGGTCAGGTGGTAGGACAGGCTCTTAACATACATAAGCTCATTTATTCTAGACAGGAACCTTAATAAGGGCTAATATTCTTTCCATTCTATAAATGTGGGAATTAAAGACCAGAGGGGTTAACTAAACAAACCCAAAGTTATTTAGCTCTTCTGGGGAGACAACAGCCTTTGAAGCCAAGTTTCTCCAAATCCAAAGCCCATGTTCTTCCTTCCTCTACACCAGATGGCCTTTCTGTAATCAAACCCACCTGCACCAGAACTTACACACTTGACTCTCATATAAACTCCTGTAGACCCACACTCAGGGACCATTTACAAGCATCAAATTAGTTTGACAATCGGGCATCCTGTCTTCTTCAAATAAGAAACTCCTGAAGAAGAAGGCAAAGAGCTTAGAGGATTAAAAAAAAGGTGGGGTTATGAGGACAGACAGGCGTGTTTGGAGCAGGGAGGAATGACAGCTGCCTCTCTAATCTGACTTATACAGTTTAATATCTCTCTGCAGAGCTCACTGTGTTATATATAAGATAAATGTGCACAATGATCTTGTTCAGTGGCTTTGGTATAAGAAGTCGGGGAAGTATGTGACTCTTACTGCATACGACTTTGATCTAGAATAGTTAAGCTAAAATTATCGTCAGTGTTTGCATGGGGTAACTTCAAGCAAAAAACCCATCTCACAGTAAATAACCGATTCTTCCATGAAGCCGGGTAAAGGAAGAACTGGAATGCAGTTATATTTTCTTATCTTTACTATTTGACCTTTCTAATCTCCAGAAGATAATTACTTTCTTAGAACTAAGTTTCTATTCTGCTGTTTTTTAAATGGATAAAATATAGAGCTCTACCTAAATCAAGAGCTGTTTAAATAGCTTTCTTGGCATATGTAAACATATTACTTGAAAATAAGGAAATAGAAATGGTATAGCACGGGTGTATGTGTCATGTGTCTTTGTGTGTGTGTGTGTGTGTGTGTGTGTGTGTGTAGGGATGGAAAGCATGGATCTGTGTCATGGCCCTGTAACTTTTCTATAGTGTGATCTTGATGAGCTTAGCCTCTTTTTCCACATATTTCCTCTTCCTGTCATGGTGAGACAATACCCACCATGGCCCTATGAGGAACAGGTCTATCTTATCTTTTTTCTGCTTTCCTGATAAGTCAAGATGAAGGTCAAGGAAGAGAACTGATGGGCTTCTCAAACACACCCTTGGAGATACACTTCCCACAGCTGGAGTGGACTACATAAATGCAGTGTCTCGTTGTATTCCTTCCACAGGGACTGTAGGTTAGATCTCAGTGCAGTCAAAGGGCACATCTATTGTTTCTCTCCTCTCCTCTCCCTCCCCTTTCCTCCCCACTCCTCTCCTCTTCTTTGAAGCTATTCTCCCTTGGAATGGGAACCTAGTCAAGGTTATTGTTCCAGTCTGTTAGGACAGTGACTTAAATCAGCTGCGTACCAGGGGCACATTCACTCTCTGGCTGGCCATCTCCTGTTCCCTTCAAAACCTTTGTAGTCAGTGATTGTGTCCTTAGTCTCCTTTGCTCAGAGGCACTCATCAGGCTCTGACATTCAGCTTTGGTTTGGGATATACTGACAGAGAGCTGAGGGTAAGCTTAGGCACAGGAGTTCTCCATAACCCCAGATTCACTAACATTTTTCAGGGGCCTTTGAATTTGGAACCCCAATTTATTTACCTTCCTTTGATTGGCTTATGGCTCATCACAAAGCCATTCTAGTAGGAGCTGAGTGAGGCCCACTTTCTGTGTTGTTAGGATTAGATGAAACAATGCACAGGACAAAACACCTAACCATGCTTGGCCAGTGAGCACCAGCTAGTGTTCAAAAAGAGCTCATTTCCTTCCCTTGTATGGTTTCCTTATTCATACAAAGCTAACAGAAGAAAGAAACCCAAAGTGAATTTCAAAGTGGTTTATCATGTTCCTGCCACACATAAAAATTGAGTGATTCAAATCTCCCAAGAATGCAACATATTTAACACAACATTAGAGCACAGTTTTCTTCCTCCAGGAGAGTTATGATTCTGGAAGTGAACAGTATGGTGTTGAATGCGATCTGTGAGTGGGATTCCTGGGTCCTCTGCTCCAGAAGCCCCTTGCTCCTTCACACGTTATCAACTACACTCTTGCTTTATTAATTACTTTTTGCTGGAGAGCACACAAAAAACACTTTGGAAGGTTTATCCCTAGTTTTTACTTCTATATTTTCAAATATGAAGCTTCTAGATTCTCAAGTGTTTCTAATGGTTACATGATTTTTCGTGTTATTTTTTGTCCACAGTGATGACTTCTTCGTAATATAAATTAACGATGACTATTTTGGGGCATCTACTGAGTTCACAGTTCTGTGCTAAGTGTTTAACATTTAACAGCTCTAGGGCCTCCCCGGTGGCGCAGCGGTTGAGTGCTGGGTTGCGAAGCTGCCCACAGCCTCTGCAGCGCCAGTTTGATCCCCGGCTGCTCCCTGGCCACCGGAGGAGGGTCCCAAATGGCGCGCAGACCTCTCCTGCCGCCCCCTGTTCCCCTCAGCACTGTCTTTCGTCAGTCTGCCTGCTCTGCTCCCCGCTCTAACTCTGGTGAATTCTCTCCCCCCCCCCCCCACCGTGCTTCTGACTGCACCCAGTGCTTGTATAAATAAATAAATAAGTAAATAAATAAATAAATAAACAAAAAAACAAGAGTTCTCCTTTAAAAAAAAAATTAACAGCTCTAAAGTAGGTAATATTTCTCTTACGATAAAACTGAGATGAAGAGTAATATAAGAACCTGTATATAGTTACCTGTATAAAGTCACCTTTATACAGAACCTGTGTAAAGAATCTGAGAATCCAAAATCTGGATAAAGCTTTGGAAAATATTTGCACATTTGAGAGGACAACAGGCACCTATCTCCATTTCCATCTCCAAATGCATACCAAGTATAATTTGCTAATAAGACATATAAGAGAATCTGTTGGGATTCTCCTTAATGCTCTTGCAATGCATACTATGACCTAAAAGGAGTTACCCAGAATGTGGAGGAAGTACAGCAGACTGCTTTGGCCAGAGTAACACTAACCAGTCCGACAGCTAAAAAATGAATTCCTGTTGAAGGAATTTCAAAGACAGGTCTATATCAGTGATGGTCTCATACAATAGAGAGACTTTTGGAGTCAGAGGACTTTGATTCAATTCTGGCGTGGTAATTGAACAGCTATGGATTTTTTGGCAGCTACTAGGTTCTTATTTTCTTCATCTACAAAGTAGAGAAAATGATATGGTACATTCACCTCAAAGGGTAGTCTGAAAATCCACTGAGATAAGGTTTGTTCATATATGGCCTCATTTATCTCTTCAGTTATTTATGTCTGTCTTTCCTCATGTTATGTAAAGTCCATGACACCAGGGAACTAGTCTATATATTTCATTACTGTGTCTCCAAGACGTGGATCATTGGTAGGCACATAGAAAATGCTTGAAAACATTTTCAGAATAAACAAACTGTGTACATTATAAAGCATTAAGAATGTTGGTTATTACTAGTGGTATTGTTAAGAAGTAATTTTAAGACACACTAAGTGGAGTTTTTCATTAGACATTAGCTTTTCTGAAATATTAATACTTTCGGCTGGAAGTAAATTCGGGTAGTCATCATTTAAGTTCAAATGATGATTCTGTTCCATTTTTTTTTTTTGATGTTCCCTTTTAATTATTACTAGGATTTTCCCCTCAATGGTATCTGATATTAGCATTTAAATCACATGAAATGAAAATGGTGAGGCTTCACTTCTTGTTTCTAATTTTTGTAACCTCCAAGAGGGTGTCTTGGTTTTGCTGATTATTTTGCAACTTCCAGGTTCTCTCCAGATGTGAAGAAAATTGCTTACTTGGTTGAGATGCTTGTACTTACTTGATGAAGTACTTGATTCCATCTGCTGTGTAAGCTTCCTCCCACCCGTAAGGTAGACCTAGAGTGAAAGGAAACCAAAAATACACTTAATAAGCTGATAAAGATAACTTTATTTCCTGGACAAAAACTTCCCACATCTTCACAATTATTTAAGTGCATTTCTTGTAAAAAATAATTTTTTAGAAAGGAGGAATTAAAACAATTCAGATGTGCTTTCATAATCAGCATCTTTAGAACACAATAAATAAGTCTTGAACAGTTAACAATCTGCTTTAGTTGCATTAACCGGATTATGACTTGTCATTTACATGTGGTGAGCATTTTTGTCAGCAGGATTCAAGCAACAATTTTTGGTGCAGGAGCTGGTGGTTTCTGCCTGGAGGCGGAGGATGGACAAGATGGCCGCTGCTTGTCTATTCTAGCTCAAAGTTTCTTTAATTGGCTGCCTTTACATTCCTTCACTCAGCTCCACAGGGAATCAGTGCATGAGTGCCAGATCAGCAGGGGTTTGAAAGTGGCTTTTGGACAAGACAAAAATCCTTATGAAGTTTGAAAGTTTAGCAAAGTGATTTACAATGGATTGTGGCATTTTATTTTGTTAATTAAGAATTTTGTGCACTAAACATAAACCGCTAATTTGCTAAACTTAGCTTCCATTTCTGTAATGGGATTGAGAATAGTTAGCTATAAAGAGATGCAGATTGAACTAAGCAAGCAATTATTTGGCCATATTTCTGTAAATGAGTACATGTTTGTCCTCATCATACCAATAGGAAGGGGCCGATGTTGGGCCCGCCACATCCTCCTACATTCTGACGATGGGTAACACCCCTCTGGAACACAACAGCTTTCAGCCCTCAGCTCCCAGCATCCTGCTAAGGATTTTAATTGACCTTTCAGATAAGTCCTTTGATAATGTCTTATCATGGGTCCTTTGAAGAAAGAGACTCTCGAAAGAGATCCCATGGCTCAAATAACTTACTTCTTTGGAAAGTAACTGGGCTATAACAACAAACTTCTGACTTCCATTCCTCCAAGTCTCAGTACAAGGCAAAGTCAAGATGCAGGAACTGGAGCTATTTGAAGTAAACCTAAGTTACCATTTGCTGCTTAGAAAGTATTCTGAGACTATTATAAGGATGTTGTTTCTGTCATTAAAAAAAAAAAGAAACATGCTTCCTTTTATATTTACTCCCAATTTTTGAACACAAATTGTATACATTGAGACTTTGGACAAAAAATTCTGTAACAGGTTCCCTTGTAGATTAACACAGATCACCTAGGGGCTTTTTTTTTTTTTTTTTTTTTTCATGAACAAATGTTCCTATTTTAAGTGAAAAATAAGCACTTCTGGGAACTTAGCATAAGTCAATGACTGGCTTCTTAAAAGTCCCTGAAGTGACACCACATACATCTCTCTGGAGCCACCACCAGCAGATGCTTGGCCAGATAGATAGGCCAAGATAAACGGCTGCTGTGTCTCTGCTAGAGTGGTCTTTCTATTTTCTTCACACTTTCAGTGTCTTTGTTACAGATCATTTCATCCATCACTGTCAAGCCCCTCACCTACAAGGAAGAATCTGATGACTGTATAGAAAACCTTGTTTTCAAGACAAAAATGCTCAGAAATACCAGAATTTCTGATCAATAAGGCTAAGAGAGTTAAAAGCTATGTATAAAGTCTTTCTGATGTGACTAAGATTTTTCTCTAAATAACTTATTTGTGCAGTACAGTCATATCTATATATCTAAGTACTTAATTCATAGATATTTTTAATGAAAAGAAGAAAATATGTACATGTTAGTATCTTTTAGTCCACAGGATCGTTTAAAAAAAATAATACTGCCCACATTCTCTGTGCTATCAGAATAGAACTCCTGCCCTGGTATATTATTAAACAAGAATTACAACTTCATAACAGACTAATTAAAGGTATTGATTCCTATTCATTAAACAAAAAGGTTAGGGTTGTAAACTTAAGAGATTTATTTTAGGATAAATTCTGTTCTGGAAAAAATAAGCATTTGCTTTTAGAAGACTGAACAGTTTCTTCTTTTTCATGTAGTTTATATAATCTATAAAAACCAAACTTGGGTGCTAAATTGATAGTAACTATCTCTCAGTGAGCATTCAAGTGATTTAAAACACAATTGCTGTCTAATTACAAACTGAAATCCACATTATTTAATAAGCCAAATAGCTTAGTCTGTACAAAAAGGACACATGAGATTTTCACATGCTTATTTGATCATGTGGATTCAGTTCTTTCCATTAGTAAACTGGGCTCAGTTCCACAGGTGAATGAATTCCCAGGGGCCACAAGCCCCTTGGCGGGTGGAGAGGGCACAAAGCTCTTTGCTCTTGGTAGGGAGAATGGCGCCCGAACAGGGACTTCATCTGTGACCAGCTGGCCTAAACTAACCAGGGATGATGGATTGACCGGGGATTGGGAGCTGCTCCTCGACCCAGTGAAGGGATAGGATGTCAGCCTCAGCTGTTACAGCTCACAGACACAAGAACTTCTGTTCAAGTAGCAGAATCTTGCCTTGCAAACCTGCTCCATGACTGTTGAGTCCCTCATCAAGTTCCTGCCGCAAAGCGGCAACAAAGTTCCTTTCCCAACAGGAGAGAAAGAGGTGGTGCAGACTCATGCAGGTCCTGCAAAAGTTCAAGGATAGAGCAAGGGAATCTGGAGAAGGTCCTCCATGCTCTGTGCCCTGCATGTGTACAAGATGGTGAGTGACTGCTCAAGGGGACATACACCTACAGATGTCCAGGGCCTGGCTCTGATAGGAAGTAATAGCCTGCGACTGCTGGAGGAGAAGCGAGTGACACTGAAACAGCCTGGGCACGGCTCTGACCACAGACATGAGGCAAAAATCATTTGTTCCTGAGGGAGGGACTAGAAATTGTCACACCCCTAGTTTTTTACCAGACTCCAGGAAAAATGCTTTTGTCCTGGGAGGTTTGTGTGCATGGAGGTGGGGAGGAACTTGACTTCTTCAGCAAGCACTGACATAAGTCACTGCAGGGGTGAGAGCAGAAAGTCTTTCACATCCAGAATTTTGTACTGATAGAAAGCAGAGTTTTTAACTTTGGCAAGGGGAAGAGTAGGAAACTCCCTTGAGCCTGAGTAGGAGGTGGGGTTGTTTGCCACAGAGGAGAGAATGAAGGCTTGAGAAAGTCCCACCCCTGGGCCTCACATGCACAGACAGGGCCTGCCTAACCAGAGACTGGAGTAGGAGATCCAAGCACCACTCCCCTACCCTTCACTCCTCATATCCACTACTAATCCCATGCTGAGTAAAAAGAACACTTTCTATTTCTGGGGAAAGTGAAAAAGCAGACATCAGACATTCACTATGATGCAGCTACTTAGAGCCAGCAGCCAGTTAAGGACGGGGTGGAAATACTGAAATACCCCCACAGCACTCCAGACCTCACATAAGCAAAAGAGAGCAGCAGTGAGACCACTGGAGGAATCTGAAGCCCATGGAGAACTCTAGAAACAAAAGTCAGCTTGCCTGCAAGTGAGAATGAATAAACAAAGCCCCACACTAATGGCCCATTTCTTGGTTTAAGTAATATTTATCTCAGCTTCTTTAGTTTTATAACTGCAAAGTCTGACCTTTAATCACAATGAGACACACAGAAAGGAAGAGATTAAAAAAAAAATCCATTACCAAACAAACATTGCCCAACTAAAAACCCACCAACAGTACCAGGTCCAGAGACAGATAAAATGTTTGACTATAAAATAATTGTAATAAAACATTAGAAGACCTAGTGGAATCTAGTGGATTATGGTTGTCTAAGTGTAGCAATGTTTTTTACATGCATTTATTATACAGAAGGTGAGTGGGACTGAAGTCTAGTTAAATGGTGTGTTGGAAGGAGAGAGATTCAAATGAGTTGAGGGAATTTCAAGAGATAAGAACAATGAGGTTAAGCTGAATGAAGAGACAAACAAGTGAAGAAAACAACAGTGGGGACTGAAAGAGAAAATAGATCTTACTGAGCATTATAAGCCATAGAGTGAGCTGGAAAGGAGGGAGGTTTGATTGGGAGAGTGAGGAGTTTGAATCACCTTCTGTTGATGTCCAGACTCATGGTGGGGCAGCAGGAGAAGTAAGTTGGGGGGAAAGGGCATGGAAAAAAAAGAACAAAAAAGTTAAGGTGGTGGGTTCACATGAATGATGGCAGGAGTTGAAATGGGGAGAAAGCTGGAGAATGAGAATTCTAAGAATAAATAGAAAGACAATACCAAAAGACGATACTCTGATTTCAGACAGAACTCACACAAAGACAAATTAATTTGAAAAATACTTGCTAGCATATTTATTATAAAAACTTAAATACATTTAACTTTTAGCATCTGATATCTTGCAAGAGAAAAGAGGAAAAGGGAGGGGAAAATGGTGAGAGAGGAGGAAAAGGAAAGGGAAAGACATCTGTAATTCACAAGAAAGTTTTATAAAAAAAATATGACATGAGACTAATTAGATTATACATAACTACATAATGCTATACCAAAGGAGACCACTATTATTCATAGTAATGAGAATAACAGCTCCTTCTTTGTTGCTCATGGCTCTAGAGATAGAAAGTACTTTGCATGCTTAAGATAGGAAAAAGCTTTTAAATTATCTATAGGGGGAAATTTCCATAAGGTGTAGGTATATTTATTACAAACCTGTCAAGACAGGAAATTGTAGTCTCTATTTCACTCATGATAACACTCAACAAAAGAATAAAAGAAACTAGTGGGACACTGTGACCCTCCTTGAGTGGTGTGATGGTAAATGTTTAACAACCAGCTCTTCAAGGGAAGGAATAAAAGGCCAACCTTTGTAGCAGTTGCTGAGTTCTGTGTTGTGAATACACCTAACTTGACTGATTTCAGACTACTCATGTGATGTTACTGACTACAGAGCTGGGGAGAAATGCGCAGCAGGACACCATGATACAGTATTCCTAGATATACTAGCTCTAAATAAACTCAAGAACAAAGATAATAGTAAAATGTAGGAAGATAATTAGGAAGTGGTGAATCATAA